CACAATGCAATATATCAATGTAGTAAAGTTGCAGTCATACCCCATGAATATGTACAAATAAAAAATAAATAGGAAAAAAAGCGTACATGAGATTGTGTTAGTGGCAGTGTTTCATAAAGTGGGATTAGAATCCCCTCCCTTACCCCCATGTCATGATTTTGTTTTGAATTGTTGTGTCTTGATGTTCCTTACCCTTTAATTTTATACAAAAAAAATTCCATATGGATTTTGATCCATTGAGTACCTTTACCTTATGCTGTTGAGTTTTCTCTTTTTGCCTCTTCCTTTAGGTTTTTTTTTCTCCCTTTCCTGGAGATAGGGTCTGTCTCTTTTGCCTGAGCATGAGAGCAGTTATGGGATCATTGCTTATTGCAGCTTCAAACTCCTGGGCTCAAGTGATCCTCCTGCCTCAGCCTCCAGAATAGCTGGGATTACAGGTGTGCGCCACTACATCTGGATAATTATTCTATTTTTTTGTAGAGATGGGGTCTCACTGTGTTCCTCAGGCTAGTCTTGAACCCCTGACCTCAAGTTATCCTTTTGACTTGGCCTCTCTGAGTGCTAGGATTACATCTACCACACCCAGCCCTTTTATCTTTTAAATGCGTTGTAGTGTCGCTTGTTTGGGGAGGAGTACACCCATACTTTCGTGGGACAATCACTATTTCAGTCATGAAAATTCCTCTTTCAAGGAGATCTAAGTCTTGTGGGAAAGAGATAGATAAAGATAATTACAGTTTTGTATAAATCCTATGATAGAAGTATTTATATTCAGTTTAGGAGATGGAGGATGGAAAGAGGGGATTGACCAGGCTTTCTGTAGGAGGAAGTGTTTTGTTTGAGTTTTGAAGAAAAAGTAGAAGCCAGCCAGGCAGAGTGAGAAGAAAAGGACATTCCAGAAAAGAAAGCCTCTTATTCTTTATCCAATTATTATGTTATTTTTCAGATAACTTGTACTTGGCTTGGTATTACATGGCATCAGAAGTACTAATGTATGGTCAGTATCCCTAGTAGTGTGTGGGGGGGAGAGGAGGTGAAGGAGGAAAGCTTAGGTATATGATGCAGTTATGTATATGAAGCCGCATGTGAAATGCCTGAGATTATAATTGCTCCAGGAATTTAGGGAAGGATTAATAAAAGATTAGTAAAAGCTAAAGTAGTTGAAAATGAGGAGTTTAGTATAATAGGAGAAAGGGTGCCATCAAAAGTGGGCATAATGACACGAAAGCATGCTGTTAGATTTCTCTTGGAGTGTATGCATGGACTGGAGGTGATTAGCAGGGAAGGGTGGTTAGAGAGAAATCAGAGTCCAGGAGGCCAGCTAGGAAGCTTTTGGAATGAGGTGAGGTAATGAGGGCCTGACATTTCTTAACCAGATTTCCATAACCAGATTCCTCAGAGCCTCCCATGCTGTTTTTAAATTTATCACCATCTGTTCTCTTATACAAGTGGACCTCTGTCATCACCATTCCACTAATAGGTTTCTTTCTAAAGTTACTAGTGATCTGGCCAAATCTAATGGTCATCTTTTGTGTTCCCCACACTTAATGGAGAACCACTGCAGCCACCAGCCTAAGTACCAACAATGAAGGCATTTTTTGCTTTACTACCAAGAATACTGTATATAAAATTTAATAGATTGCAAGCAAAACAGAAGTTCCACTTTTTTTAGAGTTTACATTTAAGATATTTTATAGTGTACTTAAAATCTAACAGAACTGATGAATATAATCACAACAATAGAATAATTTTTGCACATGTCTTTGAAAACTAGGGACCTTCTTCTTTCCAGTTTATTTATATCTTAACTTTCTTCAGGATGTAGCTGAAATTCTTCCCCCTCTACTCCTTAAGGCTGCAGTCCATGTTATTTTCTCCCTTTTCTGGACCTGTATAGTACCCAGAGCTCAGCTCACTTTCATTTAGTTCTTTTTGGGGGGGGGGGCAGGGTTATGCTCTGTTGCCTGAGCTAGAGTGCAGTGGCATGATCATAGCCCACTGTAACCTCAAATTCCTGGGCTCAAGCTATCCTCTTACCTCAGCTTCTTGAGTAGCTGGGACTAAGTGCCCCACCATACCCAGCTAATTTTTCTATTTTTTGTATTTTTGTTTGCTATGTTGCCCAGGCTGGTATTGAACTCCTGGCCTCAAGTGATCCTCCTTTGTTGGCCTCCCAGAGTGCTAGGATTACAGGTGTGAGCCACTGCTCTCAGCCTTAGTTCTTTCTTATGTCTGACCTTCATAATTGGACTCTAGGTTCCTAGAGGACAGGAATTTTATCATACTTCCTGTGTGTGTGTGTGTGTACACACACACACACACACACTCTCTCTCTCTTTCTCTCTCTAGCATAATTCTGTATACATTTGTAATTACAAATTCTTGTTAAATATGTTATAATATGTAGTAAATACCTATTTATTGTATATTTACATTATATAACTGAGACTCAAAGTGTTATTACTGGCGCTGGTGGAAGGGAACAGAAGGTAAAGATGGTTCTCAGTAGGGGGCATGTGCAACAACAATTATATTCCAATTTGGAACATGCTCTTATATTAACTTTGAAAATGCATGTAAGTGGCTGCTTTGGGAATTTAAACAAAATAAAGCTGCATTGGGCATCAAGAAATCTGGGCTCTAGTTTTAGTTCTGGTAACTGCTTATGTGAAATTGGGTGTACCTTAACTTCAGTTTTTCAATTTTACATTGAGGGGATTAATCTCTAATCTCTAGGATACTTTACTTTTTTGACATTGTGTGATCTCTCAATTATCCTATCTTTTTATTCCACAAGTCTTTATAACTTACTTCATGTTGCTAACAGCATTTCTGTCTGAGATTGTAGAATAGGATGGTAAGTTGTTTTTTTTCCAAAATCTTTGAAGATGCTATATAGAGGAATTTAAAGTTCAGGTTTCAGAGGAGTACATGAAGTAGAGAGGGAGGAAATTTGAGAAAATGAGAAAAGTAAAATTGTGTATCAACATATCCAAAAAACAAGATCATAAGACTTTACCGCCAATGCAGATAGAATCCTTATGGCTGTTTCCTGATTTATTTATTTATTTTTTTGAGACAGAGTCTCACTCTGTTGCTCAGGCTAGAGTGAGTGTCGTGGTGTCAGCCTAGTTTACAGCAACTTCAAACTCCTGGGCTCAAGCAATCCTGCTGCCTCAGCCTCCCGAGTAGCTGGGACTACAGGCATGCACCACCATGCCTGGCTAATTTTTTGTATATATATTAGTTGGCCAATTAATTTCTATTTATAGTAGAAGGGTCTCACCCTTGCTCAGGCTGGTTTCGAACTCCTGACCTTGAGCTCTTTGGCCCGCCTGGGCCTCCCAGAGTGCTAGGATTACAGGCGTGAGCCACTGCGCCCTGCGCCCGGCCCCCGTTTCTTGATTTTTAATTGCTTTTGCTTAATCTGATTTGCTTGATAATGTATTAGTACCCTTCCAAGATACTCCTAGACTAATATTATTAACTACCAGTTATGGAATGTTTCTTCTATGTATGTGTTATCACATTTAATTTTCAAAGTATTATTTTAACTTTAGGTACTATTACTGTTTCATCTTACAGATGAGAAAGCTAGGGTTTAGAGATAATTAACATTTTCACAATTCCACTGCTAGTAACTGCTGGAATCAGTACTTGGAACTCTGGTCTTTCTGACTCCAAAGGCTGTGTTCTTTGTCAATTCTGTATTGTGTTCCAGGAGTTCAATTCCTATGCATGATACCCCAGGTTGCTTTTTGTTAAGAGCTTTTTGGGAAGAAGGGCTATGTAGGATTTTCTTAGCTACAGAAGTTTTCTTTTGACTGAGGTACTTTAATTTTTTTATTTTGTTGCCTTTCCCTCCTTAATTTTGATATCACTTAGTAGTCTTTTCATTCTTCTCTACTTTATTGTCAGGGTCACTATTCCTGCTCCTTTTTGATCCCAGGCTAGAAGGATTTGAGGTCTCTGCTGATGTTAACAATTTCAGTGTGAAATGTCAACTTTTGTTTTTATGTTCTTATCTTCAATTCTTAGAGCATCTTTCTCCCTTTTCTAGAATATATGTTAAACTGGCAGATTTAGTTTTCTTTCTTTGGGTGATAAGGGTCTGAATTTTTCAGCCTTGGAAAGAAACACATTACAGAATCCAAACCACTGGATGTTTGCCCAAGCCTGTCCTTGAGCTTTTAATGCTGCTTTTCTTGCTGACACTATTTATGTGACTTAATATGTTATACTCTGTACTCACAGTTCTTTAATTAGTTTTCATCAGCTTGTTCCTTGACTTGTTTTTAAAAAGGTTAACTGCATGGTACTGCCTATTTTCCCTTTTTCTTGGTCATCGGTGTCCTTGACTTTGCATTCCTCTTTTCGGTCAACTCCCCCAGCTAGCTTGTCTCCTTGCTATTCTTGTCTGTGTTGCTTTACTCTTCCTACCTCCCACTTGCTTAAACTCTACCTTCTTTCCTCCATGCACATTTCTGTGCTTATTTCTCAATTACTTCTCTAACCTCTTGCCTCCACCTTACTTTTGGTATCCTTTTGTTTATGTGACTCTCCTAAAATTTATGTAAAAGAAATGCCAGATATATTGTCCCAAGTTTTTAAGGGCTTGTGATGTTGGTGAGTAAAGAGTTGGAATGCTAATGGGGCTTTTTCATACCAAGATCCTGTTGCCTTATTAAAGTGATAGTCCTTTTTATAAAGATTGGCTTTACATATTGTATATGTATTGTTCTGTATTTTAAACATTTTAAAACCATTTTAAAACCGTAACCATTTTGTTATATTTTGGAGAGGAAAAAAATTAAGAAAAAAGATTGGAAATGTTGACCCCTTAAATAATTTGGTTTGCTCATTAACATACTCAATCTTTTTCCTCCAGATTTAACTCAGGCTTTCCCTCACTTTGGAACTCCTAGATTTGTGAATATTGGATATTTTGAGAAGCAGGGGTTCTTTCCTTGATACTGACTAAGGAGTCTATTTACCTTCAGGATGACATCTGAACTGGAGAGCAGCCTAACATCTATGGACTGGTTACCACAACTTACCATGAGAGCAGCCATCCAAAAATCTGATGCTACTCAAAATGCACACGGAACAGGAATTTCTAAGAAGAATGCACTCCTTGATCCAAATACAACTCTGGACCAGGAAGAAGTCCAACAGCATAAAGATGGGAAACCTCCATACAGTTATGCCAGCCTCATTACATTTGCAATTAATAGCTCACCCAAAAAGAAAATGACTTTAAGTGAGATTTATCAGTGGATTTGTGATAACTTCCCATATTATAGAGAGGCTGGCAGTGGTTGGAAGGTAAGAATTTTATTTAAGTTATTACTGTTATGCAGTAAACAAAGACAATATTGACTTCTGTTAAAAATAAAGCTATGTGGAGACTCATATAATTGAAGATGAAATACTGATCACTAATTATTTTTAGGATGCCAGAAATGGAAATTAAATGTTTTAAATTTAGGTGAATAACTTTATTTTTGGTAGACTATTAGTTTATTGGAGCTTTATTATATTATAGGACTGATATAGCATGAAGTTAAGAGCAGAGATAAGGTAGCATTCACTAGAAACACTATCCATAGTTCAAGTAAGTTGATAGTGAGTTTAAGGTTAATAAAACAATATACTATTGTAACTAGTACTGTATTCATCATCCAAGATTTTTTCCCCCAAATATTAAGGAAGTACAAATGTTTTTGGTTACATGGACCACTTTTGTAATGCTTGAGTCACAGCTATAGTGTTCATTGTACCCATTAGGTAGATTTTTGCCCCTTCCCTCTTTCTTCCTCCCCCTTGCCTGATTTGCACTGAGGTTTACTTTCCTCTGTGCATTTGTGTACTCGTTGGTTAGTTCCATTTTAATAGTAAGTATATGTGGTATTTGTTTTTCCATTCTTGAGATATTTCACTTAGGTAGGAGAATGGTGTCTAGTTGCATCCAAACTGTTGTAGAAGCATTAATTCATTCTTTTTTATGGTTGAGTAGTACTCCACGGTATACATATACCACATTTTATTAATCCACTCATGAATTGATGGGCACTTGGGTTGATTCCACATTTTTGCAATTGCCAAGTTTTTTTTTTTTTAACTTTTTATTTTGAAAGAATTTTAGATTTACACAAGAGTTGCAAAAGTAGTTTAAAAGATTCCCCTATATACTTTATCAGGTTCCTCTAATGTTAATATCTTATGTTACAATAATACAATGATCAAAACTAAGAAATTAATGTTGGTGCAATAATGTTGACTAAACCGTACTATTAACTAGTAAGTCAATTACAGACTTTATTCAGATTTCATCAGTTTTCCCACTCTGTCCTTTATGTCCCAGGATCTAATCTGGGGTCCCACATTTCATTTAGTTGTCATGTCTCCTCCGTCCCCTGCAATCTGTAAAGATTCCTAAGTCTTTTCTTGTTTCTTATGACCTTGACAGATTTGAAGAGTACTTATCAGATATTTTGTAGAATTTCCCTCAGTGTGGATTTATCTGATGTTTTCTCATGATTAGCTTGAGGTAATGCATTTTGGGGAAGAATTACAGAGATGATGTGGCCTTCTCTGCATATCATATCAGAGGATACTTGATGTCTTATTGGTCATGATTCTTTGGTTAAGGGGATGTCTGCCAGGTTTCTCTATTGTAAAGTTACTATTTATCACTTGTAAATAATAAAATGGTTTTTTGGGGATACTTTGAGGATATGCAGATACAGTAAGTCCTCAGTTAATGTCATTGCTAGATTATTAGAAACTGCAACTTTAAGCAAAATGATGTATAATGAAACCAGTTTTTTTTCCTCATCCACATTATAATGAAGTGACATTCAAGGATGTGCTGTACACTGTTTCACTTAAAGTCACAGTTTCCAAAAACCTATCAAGGATGTTAAGTGAGGACTTACTGTACCTTGATCCTTCTTAAAATTTTGCTCATTAATTTTAGCATTCAATGGTAGGTCATAAGTTTTTACTGTTTCCTGATGTTGATTTTCTCATTCATTCCTTCTACATTTATAAATTGACAATCTTATATAAGGAAGAGTTGTTCCTTTTTACACTTTTTTTTCTTTAGTCATTGATTTATAATAGTACACACTCAAGATATTTATTTTATTCTTTGTGCTATTGTTGTCATTCAAATTGTTGCAGCTTTGGCCATTGGGAGCTGTCATATGTTGGCACCATTATTTTTTTGTTTGTTTAGCACTTTCTTTTTGGCATTACAAGATGTTACAGGGTTATTTTGTACCTTTCTTGCCCCTGCCCTGGAATTAACCACTTCTTTAAGAAGTCTTTTGATATATCATCAAACTTGAGTTACCTAGCTAATTTATCTTATACAATAAATAATTCAGTTTACTTTCTTCTGTCTCTGTGCATATTATATTGATATTCTTACATAGGACTTCCCAGTTGTGTACCATGTTGGGGATGTATACATACATGTGGAGGAAGGGGATTTTTATGGGGCTTTAGGTCTACCTAGCTCAGATGGTAGTTAGTCTTCAGTTTTTCATAAGGCTTCCTGCCTCAACACTTTTGTCTTTTTCATTTGACTAAATTTATTAGAGACATTTGTTGATTTATTGTGCACTAATGATGTGCCATGAGCTATGCCAGATAATTAAGTATTTTAATTAAGAGAAGAAGTGTGCCTCATTGAACTTTTTATATCTCTTCCTTTCTTCCATGGCTTAGCACACAGTGCTTCTAATTAGTAAGCTTCAATAAGTGTAGTTTGAATGAAAGCATGAATCCTAATCCCAGCTTTCCTTTCTAGCTTTATTTTTGCTAATTTCCTCTCATGTATTCTTTCTTCTTCTGTCCATTCTAGCCTACTAGTTCTCCCAGTAAGTAAACACTTTAATTTCTCTCTAGCTTTTATTTTTCTTTTATTTCTCCTTGGAGTTTCTCTCTTTTGCCCTTTTTCAACTGGCAGTACCTATATTTCATCTTCTATGTCTATTTCTCTTCTCCCTATAGAATTAATCTCTTATGTGTTACCGTATGCTTTATTAATAGCATTATTGTGGAACTTAGAGATTTTTATTCAGAGATCTTGTTTCATTAGTTTTTGTTTCTGTACTCTAATACTGAAACAATTGCTTTTATTATTTTCTGTGTGCCAGGCACTATACTAAGTGCCTTACACCATTGTCTCCTTAAACTGAACAATAGCCTTATGAAGTAGATACTATTTTTGTCTATATTTTAAAGGTAAGAAAACTGAGGCTTAGATAAGTTTTTGCAGAGTTTCTTAGTTAGAGAATGGGAGAGTCAAGATTTTGTACTAGACTTGGTAGATTTGGAGATTTCAGTGCTTATGTTCTTGACCATTACATAAGGCCTATAATTTTGCAAAAACTATATAAATATTTACTGAAATTGATTTGCCAAGATCAATTCTCTTAACTGGTGATTCAGTATGAGAAGTGATTGTTAACAGTATGCTTTGATTAAGAGTCCACTCTAATAAAATATTTCAGTGGAGAAAATACATAATAAAAGTTGACCCATGAATCAAAGCATCATTCTGTAAGCAAGTAGTAATGATCTATTTAAGCCATGTTTTCTGGCTTTACCACTGGGCACTGTGTAGACTCTTATTGTTAAGATTTGGGATGAGGGAAGGCTAGAAAATTTTGATAAACCTGTTTGGCAATGGAAAAACATGGTGGCTAGGGAGTAGAAATGGCCAAAATTTAAGTGGCTTACTAAGCCTACCAGGGATTCATGGGTCTGTATCATTGGTTGTAAACCTAACTGCCTGCTGGTGCCAGACAGGTGACAAATGAGTAAAGCAAAAATGATGCTGAACTGAAGACTACATGTCTAATGTAAAATGAGCAGCTGTGTTCTAGTCAGTTGTTGCTTTTTAGGACACATGGCAGATCTTCTAACTCCCTTTCCTCCTTCTCCCCTAAGAAAAGCAAGAAATCTGGATTTTATATGTAATTTCAAAAATTTTAAATGTTGTCAATTAATTCCAATTTTCTTAAATACTCACGGGCCAATCATATATCTATTGGCTGGGTTCAGCCTATGGACTACTAATTTGGAATCTCTGGTCTAAATCATAGCCTCTTCTTTTCGGCTAATTTAGTCTTTCATTCATTAATTTGAAAAGAATTTTACTATCTATTCTTTGTGAAGTAGTGTTAGGCTTTGGCAGTACTAAGTAGCTTAACACAGGGCCCTATGGGAGCTTACAATCTTTATTAGATGAAGAGGATACATATAAACAAGTAATTATGAGGCTATGTAAAAAGCTCTGTAATAGAGAAATCTAGAGTGTTGTGCTATAAATAGTTGACTAATTGGGCACATCTGTGTGTAAGCCATAAAAATATCCAGGGTGTATGTGATCTAGTGAAAAGAAAAGTGTTAAATGAAGTATTCACTTAATGAGAGTTTATGGGGAGTGTGATGATGTTCTAAAGTAAGTGGTACAGATAGTAAGTGTAAAAGGAAGGGGGGAATCGTTAGATAGCTATTGAGGGAAGTGGGAATTGAGCTGTATTTTGAAGAGGAGTAAGATTTGGGGAGGTGTTTTTAAGAGTTCTTAAGAAACACTTGATTATACGGGTTCCTAGTAGAGAGTTGGGATAGAGCAAGAATATGGAGATCCTATGAATATATGAATGCCAAACTAAAGAGCTTGGTCCAAATTTTAGGGAATAGTATATAAAGTTCAGTTTGTTTTCCTCATTAACCTGTCTAACCTCAGCTTCTGATGAAGTCAACTTGAGAGTGCCAAATTCAGTCTGCTGATAATTTTTTGCTGATGGCCAGCTCAAGTCAGTGGTCTGAAAGTGCTTTCAAAGTAGTGATATAGTTTCAACTGGAAGATACATAGTTTAGATATAAAGAAGAAAAGAGAAGTAGAAGGAGAGAAATGAGAATAGGCAGAGAAGGATGATGTTGCTCTTAGAACTAAAAGATCCCATCTGTTGCTTTAGGCAGACGATATTTCTAGGATTTGCTATTTCATACTTACATATTTTAAAAAAAAACTTTCTTCCATCCAGTTTTAAAATAGTGGATGCCTAGAACTTGCCATTGATCACTTTTAACTTTATTTTTGTAAACATAAAAATATTTTTTGAGTACTTGAAATGAAGACATGGAAACTGGTTTTTATCTTCTTTGTATAGGTCTTTGCTTTCCTATTTTACTTCCTATCACTCTCCTTAGCTTTAGCATACTCCCACAGTCTGTTGTTCACTGTTTCTTCTTCAGGTATGGAGGGAGATGGGTTAGGGGAAAATGAGAGGTCACTTAAAACTTGA